TTTGTTTCATCTGACCACAGAATTTTCTTCCAAAAGGCCTTTTTTGTCCTTCAGTTCACCAACAAAGTAGAGCCTTAAGGTGCTGCTTCTAAAGGAAGGGCCTTCTTGCAGTTAAAATGATTAAATATAAACTGAAATTTTAATTCTTTGTAATTGCCTGCATTTTCTTATAATATATATATATAAGAAATATAATTATTAAGAATATATGTATTATTAGGAAATTAAAAAATCAAATTATTAGGAAAAAAAATCCATATTAAAATCTGAATAAGAGATTTAACATTCAAATTATGAGGTAAAATAAATCTAAATTCTGACTTACTAAGTTAGGATTCTGAGACAAGGAGTCAGTGTTTGGGCTTGATATGTCATTGTTTTATCATTATCATGATTTGACAAAGGGCTGCCTGGTGCCTCGGTGATTAGCACCATTGCCTCGCAGCAAGAAGGTTCGCGTCTCGGTGAGGACACCTGGGGTCTTTCTGCGTGGAGTTTGCATGTTCTCCTTGTGCAGTGTGGGTTCTCTCCAGGTTCTCCAGCTTCCCCCCACACAGTCCAAAAACACGTTGAGAGTTAATTGGTGATTCTAAATTGTCCATAGGTGTGAATGTGAGTGTGCTTGGTTGTCTGTCTCTAAGTGTAGCCCTGTGATAGACTGGTGACCTGTCCAGGGTGTCCCCTGCCTTCGCCTTAAGTCAGCTGAGATAGGCTCCAGCCTCCCACGACCCTCGTGAGGATTAAGCGGTGTTTAGATAATGGATGGATGGATGGATGGATAATTTGACAAAATTTTAGTATAAACTATGAAAAATTGGACAGAAAAAAGTACAAACTCTGTTTTACTTGCACTGTCAAAAAAACAAACTGTAAAAAAACTCTGGCAACAAGGGTGCCAAAAAATGTAAAATAATGTTGGAATACTGTATTGTTCAAAAATGTAAAAATACCAGCAAGTATGTATATATAAAATATTTTTGCCTAATTAAATACAGCAAAACTCAGATTTTATGGTCACACATTGTAGAAGAACGCATTACTACTTGTAAAAATACAGATTTTTGATATAACATTATATACAGTTGCCAATATGTATGTTAATACTTTTTCGGGTGATTTTTTAAATTATCATCTGTAATTTTACCAAACAAGGACAATGTGTAAAATAGTAATGAATTGTTTAAAGAATTCCAGTTAAAGACTGGACTAAAAACAACTTGAATAGTTTCGCAGTGTACTTCAATTTTATCCATTTATTTTAAGTCAGTTAAAAATTGTCATTTTGGAGTCTTTTTTTTTTTTTTTTTCTGAAATATCCGAACATTTCATGTATTCAGCTTCTCCATGAGATGATTTTCAGCTTTTTCTTACAATAACTCTAAATTTGAGCTTTAAAGTGCTGGTTTGACAGAAGAAAACATGAAGACGTTACTTTGAGTTCACATTTTTATCCAAAAATGCTGCTCCACCACAACCAGCACCAAGAATTAAATAATGTTAATTCTAATGCATGATTCACAGCATTACATTAATTTCTAGAAGTCAGAAAAATGTGAAGATAATGTTTTAAGTGTGTGTTAACAACTAAGGTGGCCAGAGATAACCAGATTGTTCTGACAGCTTCAATCTGCCATAATTCAATCTGAACCCCTGACTTCGGCGGCTTCCTGAAGACGGCCTGAAGTACAAACAATCACTGTCAGCCTTTTCTCCTCCTTCCCACCTCTTTTCATTTCCTCCAGTCTAAATGGCGCGGACAGGAGTCTAAACAGCTCGCCGGGCCGACGGGAGGAGGGGGGGCAAAATGAACAGCGTATTTCTTTTCAGGAGGAGGTGAAGGATGGATGCAAACCAACGGCAGGGAAATTAAAACACATAAATGTAACACACCGGAACATTTTGCACATTCCTTCGACGCTGAATGCTGACAACATGCCCTCGTCTGCCTCTCTGTGTGTTGTAAGAGGGAAATCATGCACAAAATTTATTTTCAGGTGGAATAATCCTTTACGCTTCAGCCGTTTGGTCTCCATCAACAGGTCCTCACTGATGAAACTCACTGACCTACAGCATGGAACCTTTTTTAGTAGCATGAAGACACATTATGGATTATGGCAAATATCAAGTTTAATCAGTTTGATCTATATAACACCCTTCATATGTGATAGTTTAGAAAAAATTTTAATAAGTGTTGAACGACAAGGTACTATTTAGGACATGATAGTTGGACTACTGACAGTTCTGTGTTGCCAAGCAGAGAGCATTGTGTGTGTTTAGCTAGGAAACCATGACAAAGACTTCTGTGGCGGTTAATGGTCTCAGGTCAGAGCTCATGTCTTTGAGACAAACTGGGATTGTTTGTGATCCTTTGCAACAGAGGCATTTGCAAAATAGCTGGCTTTACTACTCAAAGTGTCTGCCTGGATAAATAATATCAGCGCAACACAAATGTGCACATTGCTCAGTTTGCATCACTGATCAATCTATTATTGATTTACGATGCTGCTTCTAGCCTCAACATTCCTTCCGTGTCAATTTTTTTTCCTTGATTTAGTTATGTTGTAATAGTGGCTGTGATCAAATGATATTGACCTAAGCAGTTTGTAGCATTCACAGTTTGTTCAGAGGAGACTCCTTCAGATTCTCCTCTGATAGTGTTCAGTTCTTGATCTGTCAGTTTGTTCTGTTGTTCTTTTTCTGTCCTCAGAATTATGCTGTGTAATCTTGGTATCCAGCACTTGTCTTTTCTACGTGGCACAAATATAACCATGCAGGAATTATTATAGTTATTACAGTTTGAATTTATTCAGTCATTAGAATCTCTAATGTTACATTTACATGAGTGTCAGAACATGTTTATATGAGAGAACTGTTTTGAGTCATTACTAAAAGATGAGCCTGGCGTTAAAATGTAGGTAGAACTGTGACCTTTCATTTGCTGTAATTTGTTTCGACCAGCCACCTATCCCACATGATGATATGATGCCTCAAATTTTCCCCAAAATGCACCTTTTAAAGTTTCTCCAGTGAATGATCAGAACACAGATAAGACATCCAGGGTATCAATGATTGTTTCTATCATTCCATGTCATAGATAATAAACTGGTGCAGTTTTGCTGTTAAAACTATGATATATCAAATGATACTGATGCTCAATGTTGGTTATAGAAAAAATCCTGCTGAACACAAGAGATTTTGGCTTTAGATTGTAACACCTGGAGTTGATGCAAGATTGATTTGGTTGCAGTTTTAAACAGAGTTCAAATGTGTTTTTTTTTTAGAAAGAATGAAAATAATACTAATACTACTACTACTACTACTACTACTACTACTACTAATAATAATAATAATAATAATACCAATACTACTACTACTAATAATAATACTAATACTACTACTACTACTACTACTACTAATAATAATACTACTACTACTACTACTACTACTACTAATATTAATAAGAATAATAATAAGAATAATATAGCACTTTTCAAGACAGTCAAAGTTTACAAAGTAGGTAAGAACACAAAAAAATGAATAAATAAAATATAGGGGAGAAAGGGGCTGCAAGGTAGAGCGGTGGTTAGCACTGTTGCCTCGCAGCAAGAAGGTCACTGGTTCGCGTCCTGGTGAGGACACAGGGATCTTTCTACATGGAATTTGCATGTTCTCCCCGTGCAGCGTGGGTTCTCTCCTGGTTCTTCCTCCCACACAGTCCAAAAACACGTTGAGGTTAATTGGTGATTCTAAACTGTCCGAGGGGTGTAAGTGTGAGTGTGCGTGGTTGTCTGTCTCTAAGTGTAGCCCAGTGATAGACTGGTGACCTGTCCAGGGTGTCCCCTGCCTTCACCCTGAGTCAGCTGAGATAGACTCCAGCCCCCCACGACCCTAGTGAGGATTAAGCGGTGTATTGATGGATGGATGGATGGATGGATAGTGGAGAAAGGAGCACATCAAAAAAGTGGATTTATAAGTTGTTGAAAAGAGTGATATATGGAAATATATATGAAATATGGAGAGTGAGGAGGATTCTCTGATGATTTTTGGGAGTGAGTTCCAAAGATTGGGAGCAGCGATGGAGAAAGCCCTGTCACCCCAGGTCCAGATGGGGGTGGACAGGAGGCGAGCATCTGCTGATCGGAGGGTGGGAATGAGTCAGTGAAGAATTCAGTCAGGTAGGGGGGAGCCAGGTTATGGAGAGCTAAAGCAATTCAAAAGCACAGTAATCCCACCTGCCTCATGTGCCTCAAGGGCCTGTAACTCTGCAAATATTCATAGTATTAAAGTAACATTTTGCACAACTTTACAACATATACTAAAGTTATTGTACATAAAAACAGCTCATTCTCAGGGGATCAGATTTGACTGATTTTATATGGAATGACCCTTCTAGGTGTTGGGATTGTTCTGTTCCTCTTATGTCTGGAAACCAGTGGGGGTATGTTGTTTTTGGGCTTTCAGCTACTCAGCCATGTTACTGCACCGACATCCGACAGATTCATAGATCATCCACCAGCCCAGCCTCTCCTGCCTGCGATCGGGCCTGACAGGAGTGGACAGCTGAGGGTAATCCTCCGCCAGGCAGATGCTCCGAGTGCTGATATCTAGGACACGCTGGCAGGTTTGATCTCTCTCTCTCTCTCTCTCTCTCTCTCTCTCTCTCTCTCTTGCTCTCTCTCTGTAATGTGTCGAGCCGCCGGCCTTTGGGCCAGTAATCCTGGGCTCTTACACCGAGGCCCTCAGAGGCCCTTGAGTGTCAGCAACACATTTTTCTGTGCTGCACACACACACACACACACACACAAAGAGCACAAATACACTCTCTGGCAGCATCAGTGACACCTCGGAGCTAAATATACTGCGAGCGACGGCGACAGGTGACCGGGCTCCTCTACACACCCGGACGCAGCAGGTCAGGGGGTGTGCGGTGGTGCTGGTGGGGCGGAGGGGGGGCGGCGTTGGAGGGCGTTGACTACCTCTGCTGCTCGGAGCCCACAGAGCTCAGATCCAAACCAGTTCTGGGTCCCCCTCGTCTAAGCCAGCTGGTCTGGCTTAACATCTCTGCTTCCATTTGCTTCTTTCTTTTTTTTTTTGTTTTATAATAAATCCTTTCTTGTTTGATACAAGGGATTGAAACCCACAGCTGGAGCTGCTGGGAAACCTTCCAGGTGAAGACAAAGTTCAGGTGAGTCAGCTGAAACATGAAATATGTGTGTTTGTGGAAGAAAGGATGATGAAGGCCTGATTTCAATCAGAATATTGCTGAGTAATGCATTAGAGAAGAAGGAGAGCATGTTTATGACACAGCAAAACAAATGCTGAAAGTGGAAATGGAGATTTAAACTAAATGCTGAATTAGATTAAAGTGGGAATAGTAGATTTTTTTGACCACTTGGTGGCAGCAGCTGTAAATTGAGCATTGTCTTACGCAGCCAGCAAATATGAAACAACATTCTTTTGGTTGTGTGTCATTATTCTGGATTTTTAACAAATGTAAGTCCAATTTTCAGTGTCTTTTAGCTGTAGTTTTGATCTCCTGATTCCTTTTTTGCTGCTAAATGTTGGACTTTTTACAGAGATACTTAAGTATTTTACCGTAATTAAAGCAGAAAGTGCTATTTGGGCAGAACGGCACATTTCAAAGCGTTATATCACTATTTAAATATAATATCTCATAACTGGAGTGTTTTTTTCTAGTGCTTTATCGTGTAAGCAGCATTTTAATGTTACAGCCGGCGGTCATAGAGGTCATTTTAACTACTTCATATATTGCTGCATGGTTTGGTGTTAATGAATTAATAGGAGTTTTTACATTAAAGTGTTACAATATAGACAAACACATACAAACTCAGACACAAAGGCGAGGGAATGTATATATATTTTTTACTTGAATGTTAATATAGTGACATGGCGAGTCCACACGACGTGGTTGGACTAGACATGAATTAAGAAAACCTTCTTAGATTATTTTACTGAAGAGAAGGTAAATATGGACATTCAAAACCACATATCTTAGCCAATGAGCTACTTTTCTTTCTTTCTTTCTTTCTTTCTTTCTTTCTTTCTTTCTTTCTTTCTTTCTTTCTTTCTTTCTTTACAATGAAGATTTTTTTTGGGATCCAAAAAAGTTTTCTTGGATGTCTGTACTGTTTTAAGGGTTTTTTTTAGTATCAGAAAAGTAAAAATACGCCTCTGTGTTTGTCTGCTTAACAGGAATTAAATAGTAGGTTTGTCAAAACCAGACACACAGTTCCAATATATATCATCATGATACCATCAGAAAACACAAACCCCATAAACCAGTTTAAAAAATAAGCTTATCAGTGCTCTCTGGTGGACAAACTCTAACCAGAGACTATTTGTAAATGACCTCACACATACGGTATTGTGGAAATTTTGCTCTGGTAGTTCTCATCCATAGATAAATATACAGAGAACACATCTACAATTCAGCAGAATGGAAACACTAAAACTTTAGGCTGTAAATTCAAAATAATGATCTGAAACAGGTTATGAAGAAGTGTGGAGCTGCAGTCATGATAACTCTCTGTGGGTTCCACTTCTCTCATGTTACATGTAGTCATTATATGTGGTGTTAATATGAAAGTATTGATTAGTGCAGCTTTAAACACTGGTTGTTTGGAGAGGCTGGATTTGTCTTTGCTTTAGTCGCTGTGCGGTTTGTTGTTGCGCTGTTAGTGACTGAAATCATCACTAGATCCGTAATATGGCTTGTTGTAATGTTTTGTAAGTGAATTTTACAGTGGGCATTTGTATTTTGTGTTGTCGGCACATTGGTGAGGCCAAACGTTTGTGATATGCAACAGAAGTTTGGACATATATTTATATTTGGAATTCAGATTTTGCAAAATTTTTAATTAAGAATACTAAAACACATTTTACTGCTACAGTTGTTTACAATAACTTTTGATGTTCAAATTTTTGGCGAAGTGTTTTTTAACATTACTAATCCAAAGAGAAACAACTACCCACTGGTAAGTTAAAGTAGGAAATGTTAATAAAATAATACAGAATAATGATTCATCAGACATTATAATAATATAACAAAACAAAGGCCCCATTGCTACTAATTCTTTAGTACTTGTAGTTAAGTTATTATCATTTGATCTATTAAATGTTTAAAAAAAAAAGACATAATTCACAGTTTTTCGTAGCTCAAGGTGAGTTTTGATATGACTTCAATATTTTATCGTCATCTTTATCAGAATTACAACCATATTTGTTTTTGTATAATTAAACAGACCCCAAGACTCACAGATGTAATTTTGTACAGAATAAACCATACAACATAAACCATAAACAGGCAGCAACAAAAAGTGTTGCAGTGATGCTAGAAAGACATTGCTCATTCATTTATTAACCCTCTGAACCCCAAGACACGCCAATGTGTTTGAAAGGTATGTTATCTTTTTAAAATATCACCAAAATTACACTACGACGTTTAGTTCTGTGGATGAAATTACATTAAAAAGAAGCTTAAAATCATGACATTTTATTTTTCAAAGTTCACAAAAAAATAAACAGTTTGCACTAAACACATGCAGTTAAAAACTTAAAATTCTGTGCCCCTTAGTTGTACTGAGAAGCCTTGGCTGACTCAACTATGACAGTAAAAAACAGTAAAAAAAAAAAAAAAGAAAGAAAGAAAGAAATTGAGAGTTGTCAGTTGAACTGCAGGCTGTGTTTAAACAGAGCAGACAGGAGACAAGAGAGACTGATGGGGAAAGTTAAACATACTGGAATCATAAAATAAATGCAGCATGACTCAAAAACAGTATACAGAGGAGGATACATTCAGCATGGTGAAACATCTTTCAACAGTTGATGTACCGAGTAGTGGGGAAAAGTTGGTAGAGGCTGTAAAAATGTAAATAGTAAAAAATCTACAGCATGTACAGTCAACGTTTTTCCCAGTGTTGGTAACACCCGTGGACACTTGGAATAGTGTTGGATATGTTGATTCAGTCCAATCATGTGTGATTTGTGGTTCCATTGGGAAAATTAACTAAGTTTTAAACCTTCATATTTTTTTGTGTCTCATTGTAAAAATCCCCTGAATAAATGTTTTTCACGAACAAGATTCTGTAGAAATTCTGTGTACCTTGGTGCAAGTGTGGAGCCATGAGTATCTCAGCTGAGACCAGTGGTACAAATATCTTAGAACAGCAAAATAGCTACAGTATGTGGAGCCATGCAGTTAAAAATCATTATGATACTCAGTAGTAGGACCAAACTACTGCATAGGACTCTTTGGGAATACTGTTTGAAGCTTACAGCTAAACAGCAGCTTTAGGCGACTATGAGGAAAGTTTGTTGCAGAGGGTTTTTGTATGTCATGATGCCTGGCACACACTCACCACTGAAGACAGTCTAACTTGTCCAAAGTAACATAAAATTGTCTAAAATGACTCAAAAATAGTCCAAAATGATTTGAAACTTGTCCTGAATCACATAAAAATTCCAGAGTTATTGAAAATTGTAAAAGTTATGAAACTGCTGTGTTGGACTGCCTTGGAATTTGGTTTTAAGTTTATTAGCCTAATAACTAATGCTTCTAAGACTACTTGGAGCTCAGAGAGTTAAATTATGTCTTGATTGTGTTCAGTTTAGTCTCAGACAGGACAAAGAAAAACAACTGAAGCTGAAACAATAGAATCACACTTTTGTTTGAAAACTGCTTGTAACTAATAATCGATTGTAATATATTCCGATTTCTTTTTACATAAGTTTGAGCATGATTGCGAAGCAAAGGTGCACTTTCAATAATTTCCGCTGAGGGGCAGCAGTGAACCTGAGCCCAGACGGAAAGTCTTTATAGTTTGGAGACCTGTTGAAAATTCAAATAGTGATAAAATAAATAACAGCCGCTGATTTAAAACGCAGTTTGTCGGCCTATAACTTCTGTTTAACTCTAGTTTCATACATTTTTTTTCTTTTCAACTTGAATATTTCAAAAAGACTGATTTTATTTGTGTTTCTGCGCGTGCGTGTGGGTGCGCGTGCCGCCTCCTGACGCCCAGGTGCTCGCGGACAGACTGTGAGCAGCGCGTGCTCCGACAGTAGCCGGACGGATGGACTGAACCGCTGGACGGACTCACGGACGGAGACATGCGGGACTGAAGGTGGAGGTAAGCGGCTGCGCTGTGTGTGTGAGTGTGTGAGTGTGTGCGCGTGTCTGCGGCCCCGCACGCCATTGGACTGATAAACAAGCGGACACAAACAGCGGCGCTAATCCTCCTCCTCCTCTTCCTCACAAGTCACAAGCTGCTCCGCACTTTCTGGACAACTTGGCTTGTTGTTGCGCGGCTCTTGAGTCGTGTGTAGCCGCGAGCAGGTCGCCTTCCTCCGGCAGGACTCTGAGGAAACACTCGGGACCTTTTTCCCGTCAGTGAGGAATGAAAGCGCCGCGGTTTGACTTTTCTGCAGCAGCTCTGGGTGAGTGTTTGGAGAAAGTTTGTAAGCGATGGATGATACGTTCATCCAAGGTGCTGGTCTGCACGGCTGGAGTGACCTCCTGAGGGGCCCCGGGCCATGGTTTGGTGTAACTGGACCTCAGTTCTACATGACACCGTAAACCCATCTGTCTCGAGCGGACATGGCAACGATTTTCATAATTGGATAATAGGTTAAGTCATTTTTTGAAGTAAAGCAACACTGTGGCACCAGCTTTCCAAATGGCAATATTTGCTAGTTTTCTAATTTCCTACAGTTGTAAACGGAAAAATGTGACTTCTTTAATGCATGTTACTGGCTTAGTGTGGACATGGTTGGAGTTTAAATGAGTAGAAAACCAGAAAAGTAGAAGATATTTGCAATGGGAAGCTGCGACTAGAAAATGTTTAACAATTACAAAGTGGTCATTTTTTTTAGGTGATATTGTTTGCAATTTTTTTTTTTTTAAAGTGCTGTAGGACTTGCAGGTTTCCAACTATGAATATTTACTTGTTTCCTAGTTTTTTACTAATTTAAACTCAAATTTTGGACTTTTTTCAGAGATTTGTCCAGCTTAGTGTAGACACAGTCTTATTTTACGGTCATAGAAAACAATAGGAAGCTGGTAGCAGACAGACATTTTTTTGGCAGTTGTACTGACAAACTGCTCCACACTATAGGAGGAGTCGCTACTACACATTACTAATTGTTTAAATAATTTTAAGCATAAAATCACAAAAATGTTAATATTTGCTATTTTCATAGTTTTCTGCCATTAGAAATTATATAATTATAATAATATTCATTATTATAATTATATTATTATTAAGAATTAATTCATTGTTAATCATAATAAGAATAATTATTATTATGATTAACAATTAATTAATTCTTTATTGTTATCCAGAAACCGATGAACTTCAGCTGACATGACAACACTTTTTATAATTGAATAATAGTCTCATTTTCTTGAGCAAAAGTGCAAAACATTCTCTAGCAGCAGCTTCTCCAGTGTGGCTATTTGCTTGGTTTCTAGTTTTCAAAGATTATTCATTCAAATTGTGTTACTTTTTTGACTAATGTAGACACTTAAAGTAGACATTGTCTGAGTTTACAAATTCTTTTGGCAGTTTTTTGTTTTAGGTGAATGACTTAATAAAATTTGCAAAAACTGTTGCAATGTCAGATCTAACTTGTTTGTTCCTGGATAATATGTACAAGGTTAATATGAATATTTGCTAGTTTTAGATTGGAAACGCAGTTCTGGTATGTACAACAGAAAAATCCTTAAGCTGCTTAAGTAATTTTTAGGCAAAAAATACCAAAAAGCCTTTATTGTCAACTTCTCAAATATTAATTCTAGAAAAAAAAATAATTCTTTTAACAGCTTGTTATTTGGAATATTTACTTATTCCTCAGTTTTCTACCACTGTAAGGTCTGTATGGTCTGAGTTTACAATTGTAAATAACTGTGAAACTCGCAAATATTACATATAAGATCCTGCTGCTAAGAATACTTAAGCAGTTTTTCTTCAAAATGACTTATATTACTATTCAATTTTTATTTTAATTGTTTTAATGTCAGCTCTCATTCTTTGGTTTTCTACCTAAGATATACAAAGGTAATACAAATATAGTTCAAATCTTTTTTAAGCAAAAGAAAAAACTATTCTGTGGCGCTAGGTTCTTGAATATGAATAGTTGAATATTTGAGATTTTTTTGACTGTTGGTCTGACAAAACAAAGTAGTTTGACAGGATAGTGTTTCTACAGAGCTCAGATTTCCACAATCCGGTGTCTGTTTTAGTTTGAATCAGATTAAAAATGGTTAACTTTTCTTTACATAAAGAGAAAGGCTGTGTCCATGTAAAGAGGCTGCAAACATCAGTGTGATATCATTCACTTATGCTGAGCAATGAGCATGTGGTTCAGTGTCTGCGCCACAAAGTGACTCATTCTCTGCTTATAGAGGGGTGTCCCTAAGTAAACCACATGTATTAGATCAGGTTTCCTGCATCTACATGTGAGACCTTTAAAGGGGCTTAAATCAGTAATTTAGCCTGTGTTTGTTTTTTGAAGTTTGATGAAATCCTTTGAACGATGTTGTCACATAACTCCGCCTCCTATTACACATCCAAACATGACCTATATGCTTTTTGAACTTTTGAAGCATTGTGCAGCCAGTTTGGAAATCAGCTGGGAGCCTTTGTTTGAGTTCTCATCAGGTGCTCTTTCTCAAAAGTTCCATGAACTTTATTTTCCAAGAACTAGTGGTACAGCATTCTCCAAGACATTGTGATATTTCCACAGCAAGGACAAAGCCCCAAGTTGATGAAGCAAATGAGTCCACTAGCAGCATGTGAAAACCAAAACAGTCTGATCAAGCCAAATATTTAGTCAGATTACTTATTAGAGTACACAATGTTGTTGATGCTTAATATTTACTTTAACTGTTTAGTAATTGACAGCTAAATGAGTGAGATAAAATCACACAGTAAATTATAATGTCAGTTCTTAATTAGGGATGTCCTGATCAAGTTTTTTTTGCCCTGGATTTGACCTGTCATTTATTATTTAGGATCTGCCAACACCTTATGCTATTTTACTAACACAGATTAGCCTTAGTACCTAGTTTGTGCCACTAGTTGGAGGATCTAACTATGGTGATTCAAGAAGTAGTCACGAGCACTGCATGTTATCAAGTTCCATTACAGCAAGCAGAGAGCATTTTGTGGGTTTACTTGGTAAAGGGGCACCATGGCAAAGACTTATGTGTTGCTTCATGACCTCCGAGCAGAGCCCATGTGTGAAACCAAGCTTGAATCAATTTGTATAGCATCCTGTGTCCTCGTGGCATTATAGACTGCTGATTTTTTGGCCCATATCATATGTCTGTGGCTGAAAACAGCAATATCAATAAAGGAAAAACATCTGGTGTACCCAATTTGCATTCCAAACTGATAAGTTATGAATTGATAATCCTGAATTAATCAAAAGATATTCAGATTTGCAACACCTGTAGGGGTGGCTCAAGCACTGTCTCCTCACAGCTAAAAGGTCCTCGTTCCGAAGTTTATGGTGAATTCTATGTTGCTAATATGATGCTGCAGTGCTTGTTGGTGTTTCCTTCTCTCTCTTCGTGTACTTATTTCTCCCCCAAAAACATCTCTGAAAGATGTCTGCGATGACATGTAAATACAAACAAAGAAATGGCAGCTTTCTAATGCTTGAAAATCACTGAAGAAACCTTTGTTGTCCCTGAATATTTCCAGACTTTCTAAAAGTACTACACCCTGGAGCAGGTATTCATGGGGGTTAAAGACAACGTATTCTGAATAGTTCGAGGACTATAGTGTTATTTTGGGGGGGGGTCTACCAAAATATGTTCAACAGCACACTTTTTTGCCACTGTGTACAGTACATTGCTGCAGCAACTCTTCTCTGCTTCCATCCAAAATGCTCAGTTTTAGCTCTTGAAAAGTCCGGTGTGCTCTGATTGGTCAGCTGAACGGATCAAAGCCAGATAACATTGGTCATTAACCCCAGATCTCTAAGTATAGGCAGAGAGATGTAGGTCTGGTAGAAGCAGCAAGAATGAGAAAATAATGCTGGTCAATGACACTGCTCTGTCTTAGCCTGCTAGCCTGGTGTTATGCAGATGTGTTACATGGTGATGTAGATACGTTATGGAAGGAAAACCTGGACAAGGTGTTTTAGGCAGGTAAGGAGCAGAGTTTTCTGTGAGAGTGAAAACTCCCTTTGGTGTGGTATAACACACTGAAAGACATGAGGAACCAAAACGTAGAATATCAGCTCTATAACCTATCTCCCTGTACTTTTGTTTATTACGCAGGTTTCTCCTGGTTCCACCAGGCAGGGGCACTGAGTTCCTCAAAAGGTTTCTGCGAAGGGGGAATTCTCTGTTTACATGCATGTAATCTGTAGCCACAGTTGTGTGCCACCACAGACAGTAGACTCCACAGAAGCTCCAATGCCTCAAAACCAGTCAGCCTGTTTTCCATTTATTTCACTTCACGCTTATCTCTACAGTAATGCAGTCAACATATAGTTCTGTGGGTTTCATCAGAGGCTTTGACAAAGGACGGTTTGTATTAGACTGTTATGGGAGAAATTCAGTTAAATGCCTGCAAGCCTTTAATTAACTGAATGTACAATATGTAAATGATGTATCTATAGCAGGACATCTGCTCTGCTGTACACAGCTGGGTTTTATGGCATTTTAAACCCTCTTGACCCCAAAACACGCCTGCGGGACACAAAGTGTTGTCACTTCGCTGTTAGAAGACACATTTAGCATAGTGAAATACAGTCAGGTCCAAAATATTTAGACATTGACAAATTTCCAGCAATTCGACTCTACACCACCACAATGAATTTAAAATGAAACAATCAAGATGTGCTTTAAGTGCAGACTTTCAGCTTTAATTTGAGGGTATTTACATCTAAACCAGGTGAACGCTGTAGGAATTACAACACATTTTTGTTTTTTATTTTTTCTGCCCTCCACCTTTTTAAGGGACCAAAAGTAACTGGATAAACTAACATATTCATCAATCAAATCTTCACTTTTAATATTTGGTTGTAAATCATTTGCAGTCAATGACAATCTGAAGTCTTGAACCCGTAGACATCACCAGACGCAGGGTTTGGTCCCTGGTGATGCTCTGCCAGTCATGTGCCACTGTCTTCAGCTTCTGTTTCTTCTTTTGGCATTTTCCCTTCAGTTTTGTCTTCAGCAAGTGAAATGCAAGCTCAGTTGGATTCAGGTCAGGTGATTGATTTGACCAGAACATTCCACTTCTTTACCTTAAAAACTCTCCGGTTGCCTTTGCAGTATGCTTCAGGTCATTGTCCATCTGCACTGTGAAGTGCCGGCCATTGAGTTCTGAAGCATTTGGCTGAATATGAGCAGATTATATGACCCGAAGCACTTCAGAATTCATCCTGCTACTTTTGTCAGCAGTCACATCATCAATAAATATAAGAGAACCAGTTCCATTGGCAGCCATGCATACCCACCCACTACACTACCACCAGAATGCTTCACTGATGAGGTACTATGCTTTGGATCTTGAGCAGTTCCTTCCCTTCTCCATACTCTTCCCTTCCCATCATTCTGATACAGCTGATATTTGTCTCAGCTATTCTTAGGATGTTGTTCCAGAACAACTGCACAGGCTCTTTTAATTGTTTTTTTGGCAAACTCTAATATGGCCTTCCTGTTTTTGAGGCTCACCAATGGTTTACACCTTGTGGTAAACCCTCTGTATTCACTCTGGTGAAGCCTTCTCTTAATTGTTGTCTTTGACACCAATACACTTACCTCCTGGACACTGTTCTTGATCTGGCCAACTATTGTGAAGGGGTTTTCTTGCCCAGGGAAAGGATTCTTCTGTCATCTACCACACTTGTTTTCTGTGGTCTTTCGGGTCTTTTTGCGTTGCTGAGCTCACCAGTGCGTTGTTTCTTTTTAAGAATGTACCAAACAGTTAATTTGGCCACACCTAATGTTTTTGCTATCTCTCTGATGGG